CATGTAGCAGCAACTCCAATATGCTCACCAACTCAGATGCAAAAGGCTATGGAAAACAGTTGCTATTTTTATACAGAAGATAAAATCTAACACCACCTCCCTGCTCTTGATTTTGTTAGAGTAGTGAAAGGGAACAAAAGCCAAGGTGCTGTTCATCTAGAGGCTCCCAGGCCTGTGGCTTCTACTACATTGAAATTGGGAGCATTTGGGAAAAAAAAAGGAAAGAGCTGGCCCTGAATTGTGGGCAACAAGTACCTGGAGCCATGTAACAGAAAATACAGTCAGGATTTAACTTGGTGACAGTCTCAGAAACATGCCATGTGAATCTCTGAGAGTTTTCATATTTACAGATTATTGTAGTTAAATCATTTTTATAGTTTTTTCTTTAATACCCCAAAGAGGAAACTTGTCCTTATAAATTACTGTGGCATTGTAGGAGCGGTAATAATACTTATGATAATGACCATGCTGGTTTCCGTTGATACTGTAAGCAATTAGTACAATCTTAGTGGTTTGAATAACACATATGCATGAAAATGAAGGGGCTAGCCAGAGGGAAGCCGTTTCCTTGTCCTTTCCAGCTTACACAGTCTGCCCATATTCCTTGGCTCATGTTCCCCTTCCTCCACTTTCACAGCAAACATGCTGTATTTCTTTGCACCACGTTTCCTTGTCCCGTCTTGCACTTATGCTTGTAAGGCCCTGTGATTGCACCGGGCCCAGTGAGCAAACTCAGGACAACCGCCTTACCTTCGGGCAAGCAGAGCAGCCATCCTCCTGCCTCCTCCTCCCACCTTCTGCAATCTTAGTTTTGTCAAACAACACATACACAGATACTGGGGACTAGGGCTTGGGCCTCTTTAGGGGAATTTTATTATTGAATATATGTTACCTGTAAAGTATAGTTTTAAATAGATCATATAATTAATCAACTATATTTCTTACAGTGGTAATAGAGCCAGTGATTGTTCTCAGTTTTCAGCTGAAGAAACTAAAAGGAAGGGCTTAGTTTGCTCAGTATTATCTAGCTAGAAAGTGAAGGAGCTGAGACCTAAATAAGTCTGCATGCAGAGCCTGAACTTGCAGCCATTTAACTCCAAAACTTCACAGACAAAAATTCTCATCTCAATACTGTTAGAGTCATTGCCAACAAGCTCACATTACAAACCACAACTTCTTTTCCTAAAAATATTTTATGTGTTTATTTACCTTGGTGTATGCATGCGTGGATAATATTCATTCATGAGTGTATGTGTTTTCACTCATGCATGTGTGCCTATGTAGTGAAGGTGAGTGTGCAAATGTGTACACACATGTAGAAGCCCAAAGGTTGAAGTTGAATGCTTCCTTGATCGATCTTCCCCCTACATATAGAGACCGGGTCTCTCCGTTGAATCTAGAGAGTACTTATTTGATTGGTCTAGCTAGCCAGCTTGCACTGGAGATCCTGTAGCCCCTGGGGATCACAAGTGGGCTATGTGCTGGGGAATAGAATATTTGTTTAACTAAGTGGAGTTGTGTTACATTTGTTTGTGTTGCAGAATAATTGTTTATCTATGTAAAACATTTTGCTTTTGCTTATGCTGTATTTGTTTAACTAGATAAAGGTGTGTTGCTGTTTCACCTTGCCTGCCTAAGGCATCTCATTGGTATAATAAAAAGCTGAATGGCTTATAGCTGGGGAGAGGAGAGATAGGTGGGGTTGGCAGAAGAAAGAAAAGGGAAGCCAGCCAACCAGAGTCAGCCAGCCTGGAGGCAGCCAGCCAGACATGGGGGGAAGCAGGACAGCAGGATGGGAAGTACATAGATGAGGTAAATGAGCCTTGGGGCAGCACATAGATTAATAGAAATGGGTTAATTTAAGTTAAAGAAAAAAGTTATCTAGAAAAAGGCATAATATAAGGTTGAACACTCATAATTGATAATACGTCTCTGTGTCTTGGGAGCTGGTTGGTTGTCCAAGAAAGCCTGCTACACTACCCTGCCCAAGATTTATATGGATTCTAAGGATATGAATTCTTGCTTCATGCTGGTATATATACCATCTCTCCATCCTCAACTGCCTATGACATCTGATGAGTATAATAATGACACTGCAGACTCCAAAAATCAAGATGACTAAGGAAGGACAGTGTCTAGATGGCTCAGATGGAAGAATCAGACAATATTTATGGAAAAACATGTCTCAATAAGAATGTCTAGACTATAGTCTAGTCTAGTCTAGAGTCATGTTGAGTAGAACCAGCCACTGCTTTAGCCTGAGCTCCTGAAGTAGGCTAAAACCAGAATGTGGTCAAAATGGACTTAGAAATGGACAAGTTTTCAAAATACTAGCGGGTTCACAGTAACCACTCAAGAGTTCCTGTCACCCTTTGACATCATGGTGAGGCAGTCCCTGTTTCTGTCACTCCAGAAGGAAGCTGTTTGCAGTGGCCAATCGACTTTATGTTGCTTGTTTTTGCTTTCTTCATCCTTTTCCCGTTTATAAAGCCCATCCCTTCCACTTAGCTTTGTCCAAGTGCTTCTCTTCTGTGGGTGAGATACGGCACAGGTCACAAGTCAACAACAAACGATTTCATCTTTAAATTTGAAGTCTTACTCTTTGATAGTCCAATGATTTCTAGGGTATCTGAGCTGCTAGGGTAATAGGCTGAGAATTGCTCCCACAGACTCTGTGTTTGAATGGTTTGTTCCTAGTTGGTAGAACTATTTAAGGATAAAGAGGCGTGGCCTTGTTAGAGGAGATGTACAGCTGCAGATGGGGGAGTTGGCCTTTGAGGTTTTAAAAGAATCCTGTCATTCTTAGTACTCTCTCTACTTCCTGGTTGCCATTTTACCATGAGAGCTCTCAGTTCCTTCTGTGCCATGTCTTTGTTCCACCATCATGTACTCTAACCCTTTGAAGTCTAATTAAACACTTTCTTTTATAAGATGTCTTGGTCACGGTGTTTTATCACAGCAAAAAGCAACTAATGGGTAACCTCCAGCAAGACCTCAGCACATCTTGTTATAATACGACCAGGGGCAAAGGTGCTACCAAGACTTTGAGGAGCATACTGGAAGCACCATTGTTTGAACACTTGATATGTAATGGGATGGCTCAGAGCTGTCCACACTATTTGTGTCCTTTAAATGTCATTTTGCTGTTCCAACAGCTCTCTCTGTCTCTGTCTCTGTCTCTCTCCCTCCCTCCCTCCCCCCTCTCTCTCCCCCTCCCCCTCTTTCTCTCTCTCTCCCACACACACACACACACACACACACACACACACACACACACACACACACACACACATGAAGGAAGGAAAAAGGAAGGGAAGGAGGGAAGATGGAATCAGAGAATTGAATTTTCTTTTCTATCTAAAATTATCCGTTGAAGATTTCATACTGAGAACAACTGGTATCCTGTATCCCCCAGCATGTTTAAGAGACAGATATTCTAAGGGTTTTACACAATATGCTCAAATCTGTCATATGCATTATCTGTCCTTCATAGTAAAGAAGAATAGAGACTGGTAGATTTGATAGGGAGTTACAGAAATAAAGTAACAGAATGAGTACTTTTACCTTATTTCCATCCCCCCCCCCCAAATAAAAGCAGGTACAAGAAAATCCTCCAAGAATTAGGAAGCCATTTTGTAAATCCTTCTGCTTTGTGAGCAGCAAACATTTTCTGATCTCCTCCCTTGCCCTAAGCATGATGGCCATGCTTGAGGGAGTCTGTCATGTCCTTCTAGGTAGGAAGGCAACCTGGTGCTATGGAGAAGTCTTAGGAAGCAAGGCTGGTGTGACATCCATGTGGGAGGGAGAGGAGGATGGGGAGGGAAGAGAGAGCCATGAGAACAAGCTGCACTTGAGTGATTTGGAGGGGTAATGATTGGTGGTTGTAGCAGGCCAGGTAGATGCTGCTGTAGCTGCTGCATAGTTAAAGCTTTCTCTGCCTCCATCCAAGAAGTCCAGGTAGATGCTGCTGCTGTTAGTGCCTTCTCTCACCATCTATGAAGTCTGCCAGCTTGGGTAAGGAGACTCTAGGAACACTGTCTGAGGTCAGGGGCTAATGGTAAGTGATCCTTAGGATAGATGTCAGCCATGGAAACAATTCCCCCAGAAGCAACTGTTATGCTTAAGAGCTCTCTAAACAATCTACAAAGGTGTTCACAAAGGACCCCTGGTGGTCAGCTTGTACCACCTAAAGCAGTTAAAACATCCTCCAGTTTAACCAGCCTTTCTGCTGCACATTCTTCCACAGACAGGGAAGTTATGCCCAGGGAGGAGCTATATTCTGGTTTACATTGAATTGGTTGTGCAAACCTCTGGATAAGTAACCAGAAATCAGCCAGATCGCCAGGAAACCGGGTTGTGGAGCAATATTTCTATAGAGTGTTTTTTGGAGGACAGCTGTACATGAAGAAGTAAGTTGTACACTGTTGTGTTGCTTAGTGCTCTTAGCTGCTGAATGGACTGCATGCAGCCTTTTATCTCCCAGGCCCAGATACAGGAAGGAATAGTATTAGCCTTAGTCTGAAAGAAGTGGAGGAGGAGATGTGTGAAACTTGAGGCTGGAATATAAAAGGTCATGGGTTGAAACCAGGGTCACATGGCCCTCATCCTGGGGACATCTCTAGTGCATCACAGTGCCTCTGCAGGTGACAGCTATGTGTTGGTGAACTGAGTGTCAGATGCCACAGAAGGATAAGATTTATGCTAGTAGCTTGTTTCCCCTGTGCAAAGGGACACACAGGGAACACTTCCTATGCCTTACTAAGTGCTGGCCTCTTGACAACAGGCATTTAATGACAGTTGCCCGTCATCACCACAATCTTCAGGGGACACCCAAAAGACATTTGTGCCTTCTTGGCAAATAAAAAAAATACATTCATAGCCTTGATTTTCATGAAGATAGCTGAAGATTAGAGAACACTTGAACCTTTTTTCTGAGCATACACAAAAGAGCGATTTAGCTAGGATAACCAAATCCAAGTGCTTTCGCACTAGGCCCTTACCTCAGCATGGCACCGAATCCCTTCCTCTTCATTTTCTTCTCTGGGTCTTCACTCTCCTCTTTCTGCTTTTTTTCCTTGACTTTCAGCTTGCCCTTTCCCTTTTTCTTCTCTTTCTCTTTTGCTTTTTTGACTTTCCTGGCCTTATTTTCCACATCGTCTAACTCGGGGTTTCCCTGAGGGATAGACTCACAATTCAGAGCTCCGTGGCCAGAATGAGAGCTCTTATCAGAGAGACCGTCTATAGAGAGAGAGAAAAAAAAATCAATATCCATGGTCAGGGGCACTTATGGTTAGTATATAATAAAGAGTCAAATGTAAAATACGGAAGAATGAATAGAAGGGCTCAGTGTTCTACCTAACCACGTGGCTACTTGTACTCTTTGAATATAGGACTTCCCAGTCCTGGGTACTTCAATCAACATTTGAGGTTAGGAGTGGGGCGCTGCCTTAGTTGCTAGCTGGTAGCACAAAAGGCTTGAAATGTGCTAAAGCACTAATCTCTCTGGAAGCTGGCTGGTTAACCTCCATCAGCTCCGAAAGCCCACATGCTGGGAAACAAACAGGGTGAGTTGCTTTCCAAGAGAGGTTTTTTGAGTATAAATATAGCCCACTGCTTCTATGCAATTAATGCAACCCTGTCCTCTGGTTGATGTTGCTTTTAATGACTCAAATAAGAATGCCAAGAAATGCATGCTTAGTGCTCCTACCCTAAGGGTAGATGACAGTTGGTCCTTCTAGGGAAGTGAAAGAGAACATTTTTTTTTTTTCAGTTTGCACTGTGAAATAAATTGCACATTGCATTCTCCAATCCCATGTTCGTTAAGCCAAAGGGCAAAACATATCAGGAAAATGAATTACTTTTAATATCAAAAATATAATTGTGATCCTTAAATCATTTTTTCAGTAGTTAAGTGCAATTCTCGCTTATGACTTGCAGATAATAATGATATAAAGAACCCACTTAAGGGGGCCTATGGCCCTACCAGCTTCTACTTCTTCTGGCCCATCGTAAGATTTGTCAATGGCAGCTCTGAAGCTTTCGTTGCAGCCCCGGCCTCGCACCATGTGTGGTCTGGGCCTGTGGAAGGGCAGATCACTCTTCCTGACTTCAGCCACAGCAGTCTGCAGGCTCTCTAAGGAACTGGACTTTTTCAGACCCAACGTCGGACCAAAATCATTGCTTGGAGAGTCTGTAAGAGAAAGGGTGAAAGGTCAGGCCTCTCTATGATGGAGCAGTGCGCTATGGTGGAAATACGCGTTCTTTCCAAGAATATTTCTGTTCGGGAAGCTTCGAGAAAAGGGTGTTAAGTCAGTAAGAGTTGTTGGATAAGCTCCAGCTTTGCCATTATTTTTGGTCATCTTGGGGAAGCATATTGACATCTCTGGACCTCAGCTTCTTTTTCTACAGATATGGTAAGCTTTCAGATGACAGTATTTAAATCTGTTTTACACACGGAAATTTATATGCATGTGTACACATATGCACATATAGGTATACATACATGTGAATTTGAAAAGTCACTATCTACAGATTATATGTTTGAGAGTATATACACCCATGTATACACATATGGACATAGAGGCACAGAAACTCTATGTACACCAGACTGGCCTCGAACTCACAGAGATCTGCCTGCTTCTATGGGAGAGCTGAGGTTAAAGGCATTCGCCAGCACTCCCAGCCAGAGGCACACACACACTCATAATGAACCAAACACAACAAGGGCTTCCCTTAGTACTCAACTTAGACATCTCATCCACTATACCTGCTATTACTGCCAGAGTTGTTTATTTGATTGGCCTAGAAATCAAGGACCCTTAGTGATGAGGATTTTCATAATTAAATTCTTTACATTATACTAATGATGATTAATGCATGGTGAATGAAATTTATTTAGTCTGCAAATAAAGCAAAGCAAGTGAGGAAAGAGATTTTCTTAGTGCTGCTTCAGGTGTGTTTCAATTTGGACCCCAGGAAAGCAGCCTCTTTTTTTAATGTAACAAATAACTGCAGAGCAGAGAAGTAAAACATAAAAGAGCTTTAAGGGCCTATCTTTTGAAAAACAAAATAAAACAAAACTATCTTCTTGTACAGTTTGCCTTGCCCTAGGCCTGCTCCACTCCACTCCCATTCTTTCTCCAGTCCAGTCTCCTTATCATCAGTAATAAGTTTAAGTGATAGAAATATTAGTAGCAAAATGGTTGCTTAAAAGACAGAAATAATTCCATTGAAGCTTTTGTTTTGGCATTCAGCTGTTCCACCAAGGCCTCGCTGTTCCCCTCCAGCTACCAGGGAGACTACTGTCATCAAGACTGTGTGCCATGTTTCTAGAAATAACTGACTGTGGCTTTTCCATATCCGTGGCATGAGCACAAATGGAGCATTGTGTATGTGTGTACGGCCTTCAATGCATACCACACTCTGAGGCTCAGCAAAGGGCCCCGCCTCTTGTTGTTGCCATCACTATTTTCATTTCTGCTTCCACTACACACCACAAGGGCTATATAAGACAAGTACGGGTGGGGCCTAATGTGTGTTACAGCCACATATTGTTGATTAGCCAATTACACTTCCACATTTGCTGGAATACATAAAGAACGGGAATAATAGTTAACTATGTAAACTATGTACAGAATTATCAGAGTGTGCCACATCTTTTGCTGATATTAATTTAGTATCAGCCTTACAGTTGTGGCATTGATCCTAATATTGGCATAGTTTGGGCACCAGGAAATCAAACCAAAGGTCTTAGGCATTCTAGGCAAATGATCTATTGCCAAAATAAATCCCCCAGCCAGTTAGCATTTATAGATAAGAAAACAGAAGTAACATGTTCACAGTACACACTCAGGTCCCCTCTGGGCACTGACTGAGCAGCGGCAGTCCAATTACAGCTCTATACCATGTACTTTCCAACCTCAAGATGTGTTCTGTATCTGTCCTCTACTTTATGGTCAAGTTTCATAAGCTGACCCACATTTCCTTATCTCTAAAACAGGAATATTAGTCTAGACCAGACCTGGAGCCCACCCAGTCGAGCCAGCAAACTGCAACAATTGGATATTACCTTATGGTTTCATCATTAACTTACAGGAAGCAACCTCACACTGTGAACAATACACACGATGACAATAAACACTGCATTTTATAGATGACAGTGCATATTCAATAAAGGAAACTGAGAAGAGACTGAGAAAAATACAAGAAAATTCAGGGACAAATTGCAGGTGCTATTTGCAAGCATAAATACTAAGGCTATGTTACTGTTAAATCCAGAAAAGACACTTTCCCCCAATTCACAGCAAGAAAGGAGAGTTAGAAAAAAAGAATCAAGCAAGATCATTTCTGACAAGGAAAACAAAAGACAACATAGAGGTCTGGGAATATTGAAACAACAGTAAAAGCTTTAGAATTTACAGAAAATATTTTTTAGCATCAACCCCTAGGGATGTCTGGCATAAAACTTGGTGAAAATATGAAGAAAAGAGCTAACTGAGAAAGCCTAGATCCTCTGTCAACAACAGCAACCATCTTTTATTTATTAATTGCCACTCGGGAGATTATATTAGAGCCCAAACTGTAAGCATTCACGTCAACCTTTAGCAATAAATTCCAGGGAACTTGAAAGTGAATAAATCATCTGATATGTGAGGCATGTTATCTAAAAAGAGCCTACCTACATCTGAGGAAGAATTTCTGAAGGGGAACAAACATACAGTCACTGATTCTAAGAGAATTGGAGGTAAAGGAGTCAAGGATTTTGAAAGATTGATAGCGTTGATAATTAATGTGTATGTGCATGTGTGCCTGAATGCATGTGTCCCAAATGAGAAACTGCAAGTGATGCTGGGCACTATTAGGCCCTTAGAAACATAGTAAGGTTCAAATCAAATGTTAAGGTACAGTTCTGGGCCTTAACTTTGAGAGAGACCAGGATTCTCCTCTTTGGAACAAGAAAAAGAATTCGATTCATTCCTGGGAGTAAACAGAAGGAAGAAACGGAAGAGACACTGACATTAGGTAGAAGACCCTTCAAGCTAGACAGGCCCGTTTAAGTATATGCAGGGGCTATGAGTGGGCTAGGGCGGATCTCCTGGAGTTAGGGGAACTTGCTGTAAATCTTTGCGAGGCCCCTATGTATTCTTTCACACTAGGTCAGAGTTACCAGCCCAGGGAAGTGTCAGTTGGTGAGCATCGGCACTAGGACCCAACACAACTCTTGGAGGAAAGTACCCTATCAGGAAGAGATTTTGTGGAGAAGGATGGATTGTCACCTTAAATCCCTCTTCCCTACTCCTACCCTCATCCATTTCTATTTAGACTGACAATGTACAGAAAATTTTTACAGCTTTCAGGATGAGATTGCTCCAATTCCATCTCAAGCCTTACCTTTTACACACACAGATGATAGTCTTTTTCCCAGGCCCCCTCTAAAAGTAGAGGTCTCCTTGAAGGAATAATATAAAATGAGCAATTTATCAAAATCAAAACCTCAGCTATTCAAAACCTATTGAAGTCACCCCCAAATATGATGACTCTTCACATTTTCCTCTGTGGCTGAAGTGATAGAGGCTGTGGCCGATTATAAGCAATTGTCTGGGCAAGTGATCTATGGATACCAGGTGTTATTTGTCAAGGAATGGACCTTGTCCAGATCTGAACATTTGCTGTCCCATTTTGAGTATTCACAGAAATAATTTGTAGTTGAGTGTTTGATGATTTCCTGGCCAGCTTGGGCTAATTGCAAATGCCATCCTTTATTGCAAAGTTTTCATTTTTCAGACTTCCCTATCAGGTGACCTTGGTCTTTAAGTTTTAATGAACTTTCTGTTCCTTCACAAGCATGAACTTGACACACATGAACATCATGAAGGAAATGATAGATTTATGAAGAATATTAAAAAAGAAAAGTAATCCTTAGGGTGTTATAATAAAATATTCTGAACACATTTACTCACATTCTTCCAGAAAAAAATACAGAATCAAAACAAACTCAAGCAAAAACCAGATATAGCCATCAAGATGGATGGTGTTTATGCCTACACAAGACAGTTAGTTACATTATACCATCTAAGGCCCAGTGAACAGCCAGGTGGGGGTAGTGCAACAGCCAAAGTCATGAGAAAGGGCTGTGAACTGTCATCTTCTGATCAAGACATGCCCTCACAGAACCTCACAACCTCATTGTTCTCACAGCCTCACAGAAGCATGGATATTTGCACTGGGCATGCACAAGGATGGACCAGTGGCTTTCCCTCTTACTACTGAGCTATTTGTTACTGATAGACTCAGGAAAGGGGGAGTCCCTGCCCTTCAGTTATGTACCCACTGATGACCACACCAGGCTCCAGTGGATAGTTCTGTCACTGTGGTCACACAGAGGGCCTTGGTTAGACTAAACAGGTCACAAAACAACCAAGAGTCAGGAAGTCGGGAAGGAAACCGGTAAAGGAAAGGAGAAGTTGATGGGGATAGGGGAAGACAGAAGGGAGTGTGGGAGAACAATCGGAATACATTATATACATGTCTAAAATATTGAAACGACAAAATTAACCAATGATATATACATAATAAAATAAAAATGGATAAATATTTGAAGGAGATGTGTGGTCATATTTTTTATAAAGATATCTTTTATAAAGAACTGCCTGTACAGTTCAGTTTTGGTAATTCTAACCACCTGCTTGTAGGAAAACAGTAGCAGGTCTCAAGGACAGCACAGGCACAGGAATCAGGGACACAAGGGCACTTGTCAGTTTTTTTTTATTAAAGTGTGTGTGTGGGGGGTGTTGAAGGACTCATTTGGAGGTCAAATAACGTACCAGACATAAAGCAAAAGATACTCAGCCTACAATCCACAACTACAGAGAAGATAGAACCCTCTTCCAGAAACAGATGGAAGCAGATGCAGAAATCCACAACTAACGAATGGGCCAAGCTCCTGGAGTACAATTGGAGTGAGGGAGGAATGACAATATGAACAAAGGAGTCAAGACCTTGACGGGGAAACCCACAGAATCAGCTGACCTGAGCTAGTGAGAGATCACTGACTCAGGTCTGACAAATGGGGAAACGGCATAAGACTGAACTAGACCCCCTTAATATAGGTGACAATGGTGTGACTGGGACAATATATGAGGCCACTGACAGTGGGTTCAAGATCTAACACTAATGCACAAACTGGCTTAG